TTTTTGGGGGGTGGGGGGTCTGGTCGTGGGACCAGAACTCTGGGCCTGGGCGCTGTCCCTCAGCTCTTCAGCTCAAGGCTAGCGCTCTACCACTTGAGCCACAGTGCCACTTCTGGCTTTTTTCTTTATGTAGTGCTGAGGAATCAAACACAGGGCCTCAGGCATGCAAGGAAAGCACTCTCCCACTTAGCCACCTTCCCAGCCCTTGTTTTTGTTTTTGAGATCCTTTTGACTGAGTTTCCTGAGTGCTGAGATTACAGGTTTGTACCACCACATCCAGCCTAACAGTGGCTTTTGTTGTTGTTGTTTTAATTTACTTGTTAGAGCTTATGCTACATGGATTTGAAACTTCTACATCTTAGTACACCAGCTATGGTATCTTTGGCTAGTTTCTTAAGCCATTAGAGCTTCACTTTCCTTGTCTATAATACAAAGGTAATATCCTTGCTATCCTCATAGCAGTTATTGAGTTACTATGAGTTTGAATAAGTTATGAAATGAGTGCTGGCCGCTCATGCCTGTAATCTTAGCTACTCAGGAGGCTGAGATCTGAGGATCACAGTTCAAAGCCAGGCAGAAAAGTCCATGAGACTCTGAACTCCAGTTAACCACCAGAAAACTAGAAGTGATGCTATGGCTTAAATGATAGAGCACTAGCCTTGGACTGAAGAGCTTAGGGACAGCGTTCAGGCCCAGAGTTCAAGCCCCACAATCGACAAAAAGAAAAAAAGGTTATTAGTATTTTGTCTATGAAATGGTTGTCCACGCCTGATACCCACTAGCTACTCCATAAATGCTAGTTGTTATAGTCTTTCACTCTTGCCCATTAAAGATTTAGCTGCTATAGGAATTGCCTTTCTATCATAAATAACAAGAAAACTGGGTAAAACATATGAAATCCTAGTTTCAGGCATTGCCCATCTGACATTAAACTGTGAGCTCTGAGAGAAATAAATAAAAAGATTCCCACAATTGCTCCAGCTTATTATATAGGGGCAGATTTCAGCTATTAACACGGAAAAACCCAAAATGTGTCCTCTTGGACACAGATGTAATTATCTTTCATAAAATTTAAGCAAATTTAGGTCTAGACATATATAAAAAGAATAATGACATCATTATCAAACGGTATATACCATTAGTGGAATGTTAGTTTAACAGTTGAAAATCAGTTCTTGCAATCTGGTATGTTAAAGTAATAACCATATAATTTTTCTCAAGAAGTGCAAAGAAACTTTGTCTAGATATTAAACAAATTAGGGCATGCATGAAAGAAAGTTGAGAATTGGTTCTTAAAAGGGAAAGAGAGGGGCTGGGAAGGTGGCTCAGTGGTAGAGCGCTTGCCTTGCATGCCTGAGGCTCTGGGTTCGATTCCTCAGCACCACATAAGCAAAAAGAAAAAAAGCCAGAAGTGGCGCTGTAGCTCAAGTGGTAGAGCGCTCGCCTTGAGCTGAAGAGCTGAGGGACAGCGCCCAGGCCCAGAGTTCAAGCCCCATGACCGACAGGAAAAAAAAACAAAAAAAACAAAGTTGTATTTCTCAGCTTTTGATCCTTTCGCCTCAAAACTAGTGGTAGATACCAGAGCAACAGCAGTGGCATACCTCACAGGGTAACAATCCAACATAGCAATTTAGTTGATGTTTAGAAATCCAGAGATTATAAAACTGGGGGAAAAAAATAATAGATTTTCATAGAGAAGAGCTTTCAGGAAACCTTCCTTTAGTCTTGAGGCTAACTATTTCTTAGATAGCTCTGATTATAATAATTTTGTTTTCACAGCCAGTGCTGGTTTCAGGAGTACATAAAAAGCTCAAATCTGAGCTTTGGAAGCCAGAAGCCTTTAGCCAGGAATTTGGAGACCAGGATGTGGACTTGGTGAACTGCAGGAACTGTGCAATAATTTCTGATGTAAAAGTTCGGGATTTCTGGGATGGCTTTGAGATCATATGCAGTAAGTAACGGTTAAATGTGCCTTGGGATGTTGGGATGTCCTCATAGGATTAAGGACACCAACTCAAAAGGAACTTGGCAAGGCAAAGTTTACTTCTGCAGAGGGTGCATCAACAGCCAAAAATCTGGCAAGCAAGCACACAGAACAAGCAGGCAGGCTGCTCACTTTTATCCCTAACCTAGCAGGCTTTGCCCCTCTGCTTGGATTGGCTGAGCTCAGATTCACAATCTACAAAAGGATGTGGCTTAATTAACAGGAATAGGATTCTAACCGGATGTCTTAATTAAAGTGTAGCAGGAAAAGGATGTAGCTAACCAACAAGGACCAAGCCACCTGGCCAAAGCAGAAACTTTCAGAAAAATGATCCTCACATGATTGACAGAAAGGAATCAACCCACTTTGATAGAAAAGATGGCTTTTCTCACAATAACTTTGATAACTGGTTGAATGATGGCATACTAGCCCTACCTATGAAATAAAATATTATGTCCTCTTGGCAAAAGGAGCCTTCTATACTGGTGCCAACAATTTAGCTTACATGGCAACCCTTTGGCTCTCAGAGCAAGTCTTGGCTTCACCATGTGAACTGTGGGATGTGCAGAACACTTTCACTCTGAGGAAAGAAGATACCACAGCATTAAGTAAGGAAAACAAAGTCCATCTAACTTAATCTATTAGATTAACAGATCTGAAAGAAGAGGTTTTGAGCCAAGTGCTGGTGCTCTCAGCTGTAATTCTAGCTCTTAGGAGGCTGAGATCTGAGGATCATGGTTGAAAGCCAGCCCAACTAACCACCAAAAAAAAAAAAGAAAAGACAGAAGTGGAACTGGCTCAAGTGATAGAGCACCAGACTTGAGTAAACAAAACTCAAGGACAGCACTCAAGCTGAGTTCAAGCCCTAGTACCAGCACAAAGAAAAAAGAGTTTTTGTCTTCTAAAATCTTTAAGTCTCCAGAAAAGTGGGCAGCAGCCAGCCCAGCAAATGTTTATGCAAGTGCTGTCTGTCTTCCAGAGAGACTAAGGTCGGAAGATGGGCAGCCAATGGTGCTCAAACTCAAAGACTGGCCTCCTGGGGAAGATTTTCGAGACATGATGCCAACAAGGTTAGTGAATTCTAATGGTGCCCATCTTCAGACTTGTTCCTGACTGAAGCAATTACAAATTAATCACAGAGAAGTGAACTTAACCTCTTCTCTTTCTTCCCCTCTAACAAGCTGAAATCACCATTTCTTCCCTTTTGTAGGTTTGAAGATCTGATGGAGAACCTTCCTCTTCCAGAATATACCAAACGAGATGGCAGGCTCAACCTGGCCTCTAGGCTACCCAGCTACTTTGTAAGGCCTGATCTAGGCCCCAAGATGTACAATGCCTATGGTATGAAAGAGAGGCCAGAATTTCACTTTTGGGGGACTATTGTTCTCACTTCACATATAGATGGACATCTGTGATCAGTGTTATGTGTAAAGATGATTGAGGAGAGGTGACAGGTGATGGAGAAGATAATAGTATCCAGAGTAGTTTTGAATTGTTTGCTTTTGTCATTACTAATTTGGATATCATCCACATGGGCCCAATACATAACTTATGTATCTCCAGGAATTAGTTTCTACTTAAAAAAAAAAAAAAAAAACCTAGTTAATGAGACATACTTTGCCAGGAGCTGGTGGCTCTTGCTTTATAATTCTAGTTACTCAGGTAGCTGAGATCTGAGGATCACTGTTCAGAACTAGCCCTGGAAGAAAAGTTCATGAGCCTTTTTTTTGGGGGGGGGGAGGGGGTCCGGTAGAGGGCCTGAACTCTGGGCCTGGGCGCTGTCCCTCATCTCTTCAGCTCAAGGCTAGTGATCTACCACTTGAGCCACAGCACCACTTCCAGCTTTTTTCTTTTTCTTTTTTTTTGGGGGGGGTCCGGTAGAGGGCCTGAACTCTGGGCCTGGGCACTGTCCCTCATCTCTTCAGCTCAAGGCTAATGCTCTACCACTTGAGCCACAGTGCCACTTCTGGCTTTTTTTTTTTTTTCGGCTTATGTGGTGCTGAGGAATCGAACCCAGGGCCTCATGCATGCAAGGCAAGCACTCTACCACTGAGCCACCTTCCCAGCCCCCCTTTTTTTTTTTTTTAAATTTTGTTGGTCATGGGGGCTGAACTTGACCTGGGCACTGTCCCTCAGCTCTTCAGCTCAAGGCTAGCACCCTACCACTTGAGCCACAGCGCCACTTCTGGCTTTTTTCTGCTTATGTGGTGCTGAGGAATTGAACCCAGAGCCTTATACATACAAGGCAAGCACTCTATCACTGAGCCAACTTCCCAGCCCCAGACTTTTTTTTTTTTTAATCGGTGGTGGGGCTTGAGTTCAGAGCCTGGGCACTGTTCCTAAGCTCTTTTGCTTAAGGTAGTGCTCTACCACTTGGAGCCACAGCAGCACTTCCAGATTTTGAGTAGTTGAAGAATTTCACGGGGTCCTTTCTGCCTTCCTGGCTTTGAACCATGATCTTTAGATCTTAGCCTCCTGAGTCCTAGGATTACAGGTATGAGCCATGGGTGCCTACGAGTATATGAGACTCTTAAATCTAATAACCAGCAAAAAGCTAGATGAGGAGTTGTGGCTCCACTATGTGAGAGCCAGCCTTAAGCAAAAAAATTCAAGCCAAGAATAAGAGGCCTTGAGTTCAAGTCCTACTACTGGCACCCAAAAAAAATAAAAAGATAAAAGAGACATGGGGCTGGGAAGGTGGCTCAGTGGTAGAGTGCTTGCCTTGCATGCATGAAGTCATGGGTTCAATTCCTCAGCACCACATAAGCAGAAAAAGCATGAAGTGCTATTGCTCAAATGGTAGAGCACTAACATTGAGCTGAAGAACTGAGGGACAGTGCCCAGGCCCAGAGTTCAGGCCCCACGATTGACCAAAAAGAGAGAGAGAGAGAGACATATTCTTGGGGATTTTTGTGTTGTTTTAGATATACATGTGCCAATACTGGGGTTTGAAGAATATCACTGACTTTTCTGCCTTGGCTGGCATTGAACTGCAACCCTCAGATCTTAACCTCCTGAGAAGTTAGGATTATAGGTGTAAGCTACCAGTTTCTTGGCAGGAATTTAAGGAATTTGATGAAGGCTGAACATCAGGCTACTAGCCATCACTTTGTGAAGTTCAGAAATGGCTATGAAAGTTACTGAATGCCCCTAGTATCTGTTTTGCTTTTCAAAGAGGGTCTTTTTTTGAAGGGGAGGAGAGGGATTGTCGGTCCTAGAGCTGGAACTAGGGTCCTGGGAGCTGTTCCTGAGCTTTGGTGCTCAAGGTTAATGCTCTACCACTTTGAGCCACAGCTCCATTTCTGGAGGGACTATATTTTAGGAAATGATTGGTTTCTTGGTCAGTGCTAATGATAGTGTCACCCAAACTAGAAGTAAACCTTAATCAGTATAATCGAAATGAGAATCCTTCCTTCGTTCCTTCTTTCCTTCCTCCCTTCCTTCTTTCATGTATGTGTATGTATGTCCACGTCTAGATTGTTGGCATTGGAATCTAGGGCCTTATGTATGCTTGCCAAGTACTGCCACTAGGCTCTTTTTTTGTGTGTGTCAGTCCTGGGGCTTCAACTCAGGGCCTGGGCACTGTCTGTGAGCTTCTTTTGCTCAAGGCTAGCACTCTACCACTTGAACCACAGCACTAGTTAGGGCTTTTTCTGTTTATATGGTACTGAGGAATCAAACCCAGGGCTTCATTCATGCTAGGCAAGCACTCTACCACTAAGCCATATTCCCAGCCCCAGTGCTGTCTTCTTAATAAAGATATACTTCATTCTCTCAGTGGTACTCATTTAAATACTCTTGAGCATATTTTCAGTGATAGGATCTTTATAGATTTAGGATATTGTTACTTCACCTTGAATGTCTTTCTTTTACCTTTAGGATTGATAACAGCAGAAGATAGAAGAGTTGGCACAACAAATCTTCACTTAGATGTGTCTGATGCTGTTAATGTGATGGTGTATGTTGGGATCCCCATTGGGGAGGGTGCCCATGATGAAGGTATGATTTCTAGAAAAATTGCTTCAGATACTAAGGCTTAGCCTCAGAATTAACTTTTCCTCCTTAGTTAAGAACTTTTTCTTTCTTTTCCACTCTTCTTTATCTCTTTTTATTCCCCTAAGGGAAAATTTCTCCCAGGTCTGATACGTAGTTAGTATTCAGTGAACAGTGTTAGACAAAGAGAAGTTCTAGCAGAGTACAGTGCTTATGTACCTTTGACCAGCATCTTTGTCTTTCTGGAGTGCTGCCCTTTCCTACTGAGTGTGTAACCTCACAATGAGGAATGGAAGAAGTTTTCAGAGAGCTCTCCATCTATTAGTCTCACTAGCCAGATCAGCTGTGGGGTAACATGGTAAAACCAAGTTACCTGCATAAAAATGAAACGCAAGCCAGTGCCAGTGACTCACCTGTAATCCTACCTACTCAGGAGGCTGAGATCTGAAGACTGATTCAAAACCAGCCCGGGCAAGAAAGACTGTGAGACTCTATCTCAAATAAAGTACCAAAAAGCTGGAAGTAGAGCTGTGGCTCAAGTGGCAGAGCACTAGCCTGGAGCAAAAGAAGCTAAGGAACAGCATCCAGGCCCTGAGTTCAAGCCCCAGGACCAACACACACACACATACACACACACACACACAAAAGAAACATAAAAATGACATTTTTGCTGTATCTGAATTCCCTTCTACCTCTTATCTAAATATTATCTTAAGAGCACTCAATAGGCTGTGAGCCCATTGTATTAATGTCCAATTGGGCAGGATGATTTAGAGAACAGCCCAAATCCCAAAGTTAAAATTAATGTATTTATTATGAAAGTTTCAAAAAAAAATGAGATGATTTTGTAAAGTAACTTAAGAATCGGAAAGGGCTGGGAAGGTGGCTCAGTGCTAGAGCACTTGCCTTGAATGCATGAGGCCCTGGGCTCGATTCCTCAGCATAAGCAAAAAGAAAAAAGCCTGAAGTGGTACTGTGGCTCAAGTGGTAGAGCACTAGCTTTGAGCTGAACAGCTGAGGGACAGCGCCCAGGCCCAGAGTTCAGGCCCCACGACCGGACCCAAAAAAAAAAAGAATCAGAAGGTTCAGAAACCTTAGTATATTTTTTGTTAAACATTTGCTTTTGTGTGTGTGATGATAGTGTGGCTTGCACTCAGAGCTCAGAGCTCACACTTTTTTTTTTTGTTTTTTTTTTGTGGGTCATGGGGCTTGAACTCTGGGCCTGGGTGCTGTCCCTCAGCTCTTTAGCAAGGCCACAGGACCACTTCCAGTTTTCTGGTGGTTTATTGGAGATAAGAGTCTCACAGACTTTCCTGCATGGGCTGGTTTTGAATGTTATCCTCAGATCTCAGCCTTCTTAGTAGCTAGATTTACAGGCATGGGCTACCAGTGCCCAGCCAGAGCTCAGACTTTTTTTTTTCTTTAGTTTTTTTTTTTTTAATTTTTTTAGGGCTTTTTTTTTTTATTATTGTGAAAATACTGTACAGAGGGGTTACAATTACATGGGCAATGGGCTGGGAAGGTGGCTCAGTGGTAGAGTGCTTGCCTTGCAAGCCTGAGGCCCTGGGTTCGATTCCTCAGCACCACATAAGCAAAAAGGAAAAAAGCCAGAAGTGGCGCTGTGGCTCAAGTGGTAGAGCGCTAGCCTTGAGCTGAAGAGCTGA